AAAAAAAAAAGTTAATACCTTCTACCCAGACTACTCTATGGAAAGTGGAGACATCCCCTCCTCCTGCACTCTCTTAGTCTTCTTATCCTGATCCATTTTTTCATATTATTTGGCACCTTCTAACATAAAATATGCTTTTGATAATAAATATACATTTATTATGCATCTTTTTATAGTACATATACACACACTACTAGAATATAAGATCTTTGTTAATTTGCTAATAATTTCCCAAGTTTCTAGGTTATAGCAGGATTATGAGGGTCAAGTAAGTGCCTGCCTGTACATAGCCTGCAGTAGGCAGCACCTGGTACAGAGTCTATGATGAACTAATAGCAATTCCCTTCTTCATCTGAATGTCAATCAACAAAACATAAATTATGACAGATAATGGAATATTAGAAACCATTAAAATGATAATTACAAAGAATGAGCAGTATGGAAAACATGTAATAACTAACATTAAGTGCAAAAAGGCAGGCTACAAAATTGCCTATAATTAAAACTGGATAAAAATAACTCAATAACGCTATACAAAAAGTGGGAGACAAGATGGTGGGCTCAGAGTGAGGAGCTGTTAAGCAGGGATGAAAACTGGTGCACCCAGAAGTAGATTTTAAGAACAGTTTCTCTTCAAAACAGCTTTCTTTTTCTATACTGCTTGATAAGTATCTTGCTATATTAAATGGCAGTAAAATGGGTGATATCAAAGAGAATTATCTTGAAACACTTCTTTATGATTCAAAACAAAATTTTTTTTCCCCCCCAGTGGTGGGGATTCAACCCAGGGATGCCATACCACTGAGCTACACCCCCAGCACTTTTTATTTTTATTTATTTATTTATTTATTTATTTTGTCGTTGTTTTTTGAAACAAGCTCTTACTGAATTACTCCAACTTCTAATCCTCCTCCTCAGCCTCCCAAGTAATTAGGATTACAGGTGTGTGTGTTAGCTTTTCCTTGCTGGGACCAAAATGCTGATATAAACATCTTACAGGAGGAAAGATTTATTTCACTTCATGGTCCAGAGGTTTTAGCCCATGTTTGATTGACTCCATTACTCTGGACCTAAGGCGAGACAGGACATCATGGCAGAAGAGAAGAGTATGGCTACTCAGTTCATGGCAGCTGGGAAGGAGAGAGAAAAAGAGAGAGAATCAGGAACAAGATATATTCCCCCCCAAGGCATGCCCCAGTGATCTACCTGCATATAATTCCACCATTTCCCAGTAGTCCATTCAAATTATTAATCCATCAAATAGATTCTTCAAATGATGAGGTTAGAGTCTTCATGATCCAATCATTTTCTAAAAGCCCCATCTCTGGGTATTGCTGCACTGGGGACCAAGTTTCTATACATGAGCTTAAGGAGTACATTTCAGATCCAAACTATAACAGGTGTATGCCTCCATGTCTGGACAAAACAAAGCTTGCTTTATATTGTGACTGTAATAATTCTGCATGTTCTCTTCCAGATTACTATCATTGCAAAGTACAACTTGCTTTGACAAGTTGTACTTATCTGATGGCAAGGTAACAACATGTCACTACCCTTCTGTGGACATTTCCCTTAACATGGAACTTATCCCTTAACCAAATCCTGTGCATCATAATAAAGAAATACATTATCAAGTGTTGTAAAACAGATCAGGGGCTGGGGATGTGGCTCAAGCGGTAGCACACTCGCCTGGCATGTGCGGGGCACTAGGTTCCTCAACACCACATAGAAATAAAAAAATAAAGATATTGTGTCCACCTAAAAAAATAAAAAATACATATTAAAATAAAACAGATCAAAGGAAAAGGCAAGCACTTTGAGCAATGACTCATGATTGGACAATTTAGCAAATACTCTTCACTATTAAGTTCTATTGGTATCCTCCTGGACAGTATCACAGACATCATAGGAAACCAGATCCTCCAAAAGACAGATGATATGAGGTTCTTGAGGAATCAAAGAGAAATATTATCTTGTGCTTTCCTTGCTACTGAAGAAATTGCTATCTGGTGTATTCACTAATATGTCAAACTGTAAAATAAAAATAATAAAATATGGACTTTTTTGTATAGACTTAAAAAAATCTATACAAAAATTAAGCCTATTCTTAGGTTAGTCTGATGGGAATGAGAATTGATTTACCTAAATGCTTCTTCAATTTTTGTAATTCTTTTTTTTTTTTTTTTGGTCACATCGTATTTTGATACAATTTCAAACTTACAGAAAAGTTGCACAGTTTGAGACAGATTAATCAAGTTTGCCATATTTTTTTTCTTTCTTTCTCTTTTCTTCGTTTTTTAGGCCTCTTACATCTGAAAACACTGACAAACCACCCACCCAGTCATCTTGCCAGTGGACAGCCTCTTTTAAAACATCTGGAGAGGGGAAGTAGTACATTGTGCCCTGAGATTGTGTAGTGAAGGGGTTGAAATAGAGCCACCCTGAAGGGCAGCTGCTTCTACCTTTGGACTAAAATCCTGCATGCATAAGTCCACTGAACTGTCCACGGCTCTGCAAGCCTGTCCCCCTGAGTTGAGTTTCCCTGGGGAACAAACTCAAGGGAGGGCACTTAACTGCCTCCTGGTTCCCCATCCCAAGTCTGTTTAAAATGATCTTTTAAATTGCTGAGTTCTGAGTTGGTTAAACGATAGTCTATTGTGGGAACTCCTAGGCTTAGAGCCACCATTATACAAGGATTGTTTGTGGAGATGCTTTATTTATTGGGGAACAGGTCTGTGCTGGGGCTCTGGGTAGTGACTGTTACAGTAGCAGCCAGCTAGGAGGATGAAAGAAGTTTCCCATTAGCTTGTGAGCAAGGCCTGCAGGCATACGACCAACTCATAGACCACCACCCCAATGTGGTGACACACAATCACCAGCTCTCTCACTCTTCCCTGTCCTTCTGAGATAGCAGACAACTCGGTTACTTCTCTACTCTTATCTGGGGCTGACCAGGACAAACCCTGAGGACAGAACAGATTCTACATGTTGCAGCCTATGGGAAGGAATTAGGAATTTCAAGTCATCCTCCTCCGCCACTGGCCTTGAGACCCAGCTATGGTCTCAATCAAGCCCCAGGGTTAGAGATGACCTTGCCCTTGCTACTCTTCCCACTGGACTCCCCTTCCTCCCAGGGTGTTATTTCTTAACTTTGTGATTTGTAGGAGTAAAATCTTTATAAAAATGAGATAGTGAGCCAGGCTTGGTGGGGCACACCGTAATCCCAGCAGTTTGGGAGGCTGACACAGGAGGACTGTGGGTTCAAAACCAGCCTCAGCAAGAGTGAGGTGCCAAGGAACTCAGT